AGTACAAGTGATAGCAGTAGCAACAGCATTTAGACTTATATATCTCTTCACAGTGTTTTACAGCCTTCTCTAAGCAGTTTACAGAATCAGCATATTGCCCCAACAATCTGGATCCTCATTTTACTAACCTGGGAAGGATGGAAGACTGAATCAATGTTGAACTGGTCAGGAACAAACCCCTGGAAATGAGCAGAATTAGTCTGCAATACTGCAGTCTAACCACTGCGCCACTGTAGCTCTGAACAGAACTCCAGCCTTTGTTTCCAATTTAGAAGGACCTTAGAGTCCTTCTAAAACATTTATTGCTGCATATCCCAATAAAGAAACATCACAAGGGGCTGAATCACCCAACAATGTTTACTTATAGCTCTTAGACTTCAAAACTATTTGTTAAAACTGTTCCTTTTATGAATTCTGCTGTTCCCTACTTAAAGAGACGATTATGGTTTGCATCTAAGTTACATATTTTATTCTGAAGCTTCTTATGTATGACATTAGATACATTTTTAAAAAAATGAAAAATCTCTTTTGAGTTGCAAAAAATCAGATGAAAGTTTAGGATTGGTGAATTGGTAGGTATACAACTACTCACTTTCAGAAAAAGGGCTGTTCACAGCAAGGCCTTGCACACGAGTCACCTCTGGTTTTGGTAGATATTGCTAGAGAAACAGTTTGGTCTAGTGGTTAAGGCACCAGGCCGGAAAGCAAGGAATTATGAGTTCAAGTCTTGCTTTAGCCACAAAAGCTAGCTGGGTAACTTTGGACCAGTCACTCTTTTTCAACCCTATTACCCTCACACAAGGTGGTGATGTGGAGAAAATAGGAGAAAAAGGACTTAGATATGTCCACTGTCTTAAATTATTTGTAGAAATAAGAAATATGGGATATTTCTATAATGGCTAATGGCTCCAGTGCCCTTTGGCCAAACTGCATAGATAGCTCCATTCTTAGAAGGGTTATAAGGGAGGGCCGTCAAGACAGGCAACAGTCTTCCAACGCTGCATATCCCTATTAATTGTTAAAATACATAATTCATAACACTAAAAACATTTAAAAATCAAACTTGTAAAAGAAACTCCAAAAGTTATTTCTAGGCAAACAATGTGGCTGTTTTGTAATTATTTTATCATGATGAAATGGCTGTATGTTCAGTCCAATCCAGTGCAGTCCATTGTCACATGCCAACAGTTTTCAGTCTTCACAACCATTTATGCTGTAATTAAGCTTTCTTAATGATTTGTGCATAGCCACCATTCATGGTGCCATTCTGCTCTAAAGTTTTCTATTCCTCTCAAATAAGCTCTTAGAACAAGATTTGTATGTTAAATACTTTCAGTGAAAACTCAATAGAAGTGGCACTGAGAATGCGCTCAGCTTAGGAAGAGGGAGGAAAAAATTATAACCGTTTACAAAAATGCCTATTCTATTAGGTAACCTTGCTTGGCTTTCTCTCTTAATACAGAGTTTGAAGAATTTAAACAGATGTAATAGCTGTTGAAAACCTTTTAGCTTCCCCTTGCATTTTCCTTCAGTGGTTTGAAAGCTTAAACAGCTAGTTTTCGCTTTCGGTTATTTAACTGAAACAAAATCGATGCCTTTTCTGCCTTCCCACAATTTCTAGCTCATTGGTGTGCTTTGTGATGCATTCTCTGCAGTGCAGAACCCTTAGGGGAGGCCAGGCAATTTGCTTATGATGCTTTTGAATTATAAACTTGCAGAGTGCAGGGATGTGGAGCTCCTCCTAGGTCTGCTGGGCTGGAGAGAATCTAAGCCTATCATATGATCTTGCCATTGCGAAAGTGAATTTTGTCGACACAACAGCATTAGATCGATGTGGTATCAAATCCATGATTACCATGGCATCTGATCTAGGTAAGGGGAAACCTGGTGCTGGTTGCTTCTGTTTAGAGGATTTACCACAGTCTTCTGAATTCAAATACTCTTTGCCTCATGCTTTTCATAGTTTGGTACATTATTTAAATTGATTTAAAACACATCTTGCTCTCTCTTCGGTAATTTAAAAATGCACAAATATCCCCCTTGGAATGTTGTTATCTCCCCTCTTTGTTCCAAATTCGTGCTTTGTTTGGCAAGCAGAAAGTTTTGGCTAATGTCGTATTTAAAAAAATACTGAGTTAGTTTTGGTGTTCTTGTTTGATTGCTTTAATTTGATTATGATTGAATTAGCTGTAATCTTAAGTGATTTTTTTAATTTCCCGTTGTCTACCTTGCACTTACAATATACTGTACTGTTCTTAGTTTTATTTATAAATCATATGGCCATCCATCTTACAAAATGTGACTCTGGACAGTGTACAATAAAACCATAAATATTAAAACAGTGCGGTTAAAATATTGGTGTTATTATTTTTAAAAGGCTAGGCAAAAGCATTGGATGTTATGAACAGTAGAGCTCTTGATATGATAACAGAGATGATGATAATTTAGAAGTTTGGAGCACAATGAAGTCATCAGTTGTTGGCAAAATTAATCTCTCTCTGGACCTTCACTGTTGCATCCTAAAACTCCCCAAAGAACCAGGTATGACGAGGACAAGACAAATAATCCATAATACTGGAGGAACAATAAAGGTCATAATCTTCTGCATAAAAGAATCCAGTAGCTTTATCTTAATATTAAGAAATATTAAGATTCTGGAGAAACAAGTGATGGCAAATATTTTCCACAACATCAGTTATCAGAGGAATAGAAAACTGAAAAGTCCTGAAACATAATTTCCCTCTGACAAGAAGTCAGGGAATAACAAGGAAAAGGGGAGAGAATACAAAATGATGGCCAGAATAATTTGTAAATTAATGTGCAGATTAAAGTTGATTTAGCATCACATACATAAAGCAATCAACAGTTGTATGAATTCTTGGAGTATTGGTTAAACATAAAATATAGTTAATTTATGTTTGTCAGAATTCTACTTAGTTCCAGCTTGGGTAAGATTGTTTGAGGGGATGTTTTTTCTAAATAATATAACATTATTATTTAGTTACCATAATTTTTATTTCCATTGTAAAGAGATTAACAGTAGAAAAGAATGTTTAATGATTTCACAAGGCACAGTTGGAATCTTTTCTGACTTTGATTAAAAACTTTTGGACGCTTCCTAAAGAATTCCAAAGAGATTAGGAATAGGAAGTGCTGTTCCTCATAAAAAAGAAACTTTGTGTGTGTGTGAATATACAGGAGGAGAAAGGCTGCTCTTTCTTCTGCACTTTATAAGCCTGAGGCTAAACTATGAAATGAAGTTGGTGAAGATTGTCACAGAATGGAATATTCAAGATGATCTGCTGAACTTTTCTTTTAAGCTCTAGCAATGCATTTCTCATTATAAATGTCATCATTCTCCTGTTCAAAAAATTCAGGGAATTTTTAAATTTTATTGAATTTCCCTTTAACACATCTATACATTTGAAGAGCATATCTAGCTTTCTTGGTAAGACTTTGCATACTATTAAGTAAATATAGAAAATGCTTTTTACAGTAAAGACACATTACTAGGAAGCTAATATTTTTAGAAACAGGATGTAAGAGCTGTGACAAATATCGGAAGTTTAAAATGCCCATAATATTACCTATAAGATAATTATCTTAAGTTCATCATAAATGATACTGGGGTACAATACTGCTGTCTCAAGGTTTTCCCCATAAAGTACCGCAAAGCTTAATTATTTTTCCTTGAAGATAGTAGAACTCAGAAGGCACAATATGTCTCCTTTCTACTCATTTCCAGAACATTTAGTATCCTTCCTTTTCCTAATTTTAACAGAGTAAAATTCTACCACCAAACTCATAAATTAGGGAAAACAAGGAGGATCCAAAAATGTGCTTAAAGCATTTTGTGTTAATTATTCCCTTAAGATAAATCTGCTGGACTGATATAGCTTTTTTTCTGGCAAATGGTCTATCAGGTAATATCTATTAAAATAATAAAACAAAATCACAGTAGTGTTCAAAGAGAAAAATAGTGCATTACTGATGCAGAATAGAAAAATATCTATTTCTACTTCTACCTTCTGTATAGGTTGGAATTTAAAATAGATCTCCTTCCCTTCCCCTTCCCTCTACATCATGCCTGTCACTATTATCAGTTTAAGCATAGTTTAGTCATTTTAAGCATATTTCCTTTGTGGATAACTTTCTTACATTTTGAGGTCCCAATTTCAATATGACTAACATTTCATAATCTGCCTGCTGCCTGTTCAGTTTTTATTATTAACTCATAGTCATTGACATGACACATTTTTTTATGTTGCTGCTAGGAAATATGAGGTACACACTGCCCTGGCCTTTTGTGACTCTCATTAGCCAAATTCTGCAGCTGTAGTCCCAGAGCGTCACATGGCAAGTCCCATCTCTGCTTTCACAGCTGTATTTGTGTTTTGTTTTTTTCCTTAACTGGCAGTCATTTGGATTTTTTTTTTTAAAAAATTAAGTCCTCCTCCTTAATAATGTTAACCCAGCCAAATATGCAATATCCCCTTGGCTGAACGAAGGTAATGGATCCTTGGCTTGCTGTCTGAAACCTTTGCAAGTTGTTATGTGTGGTTTTGCAGCTGAGATGGAAGGAAGTGAATAGTTTAGGATATAAGCAATTAAAATTGGAATTGGTGACTTTTAGTTATGCATTTAGATATTTAGGACAAAATGAAAACTGGGTGGGTTGTTTTTTTTTTACATTGCATCAAAATAATATTGATTACTGGAATTTGGAGGCATACCTGTTAACTGTAGTAATCTTGATTAGTGTAATAAATTCATAAGTGGATAAACTTATTTCTGCTGGTAGTTCTGTATTTTTGCTTGTTGCAGAATGTTTAGGCAAGGGAGAATTGCACTGATAATGAGGAGGCGGATGAATACTTTGCTATGGACATCCCTGAATAGAAAACACACTTACCTAGTTGCACATTTGGTTTGTGCAATGTATCAAGAAGATGGTCTTTATATTCAGCCATGTTTACATCGGCTTTTTCTATTTACAGGTGGCAGTAGATGTTCAAAGATCTTAGTCACTCCAACCTGCTCTTTAAACAGTACAATCCAGCTGTACAAGCCAAGCATCTGCAATGAAGTGGTTCAAGGAGTAAATGGAAACGATCCAGTTAAGTATTCTCTGTGGCCAGCTTCAAACTACAAGCCACAAGGTAAGTAGTATCTCAAACGTATACCTGACTTTGATTTCAGGATCCTGTGTCAGTTCCTTGAATTAATGGTACAAGACATGTTGCGCCAATAAAACTGCTGAATGAATGAAACTTTAGCCAGGAAATGTGGCATTATGAGCAGACTAGATTGAAAATATGAGAAATGATATAGTTCGGTCTAGTGGTTAAGGTACCAGGCTAGAAGCGAGGAGCCTGTGAGGTCTAGTGCCTCCTTAGTTAGGCATGAAAGCCAGCTGGATGATCTTGGCCCAGTCGTTTTCTTTAGCCCAACTCTGCCTCACAGGGTTGTTGTGGGGAAAATTGAAGGAAGTAGCATTGTGAGTGTTTGCCACCTTGAATTATTTACAACAATTATAAAGGTGGGATGATAATAAAAAAATTACAAAGGAAGACAACTGAAGACCTGGTTCTACCAGCAGGCCTGGGGAACACAGAGTGGAATGGATCCCATTAAATGGCTGGTGTGATGCATTATCACCGGGGTGGGTGGTGTTATTATTTTATTAATTTATTATGTAATTATTCTCTTTTTATTAGTTTTATTGTTTTATATATGAGATTTTTATATTCCTGTAAGCTGCCTTGAGTCACCAAGTGTGAATAGGCGGAAATATAAATTCCCTAAAACAAACAAATAAATAAATAATATCATTTTAGTATTAAAAGATTATTTTATTTAGCAACTCAATAATTCTTTTTCTGACTTGAAGCCATTCTATACTGCAAATCAGCTTCCACAGTTCTTTAGAAGAAATTGAGGTAGAAATTTTGAGTTGAGAGGGAAATGTGTTTCCTAGATGCATGGCTCTGTCAAATGGGCCTTTTCCTGCTTTAAAGAGAAGCGGCATAAGGATCGTGTGCCAAGATTCTGGAATTGTTTCCAACCCTTTTAACCAGCAGAGGTCCAAAGAGAGGACTGTTTGTTTTCTGTGTATATTTTCATGTTACATCTGCCTGGGTTTCACTCTCCCTTTGTATTGTGTTGGTGTATGTGATGCTTGTGCACTGGAAATAGGGTGGGAATGTGTGCTCTACCTTAGCCAGGAGTGGGATTTGGGGGTTCTCAAAACTGCACAGAATCTTAGCTAGGGCTCTCCTGAACCCCTGCGACTCCCCATCAGCCCACCCCTGGTATTATAAATGTAACCTCAGATGAGCCCCAATACTGCCATATTCAGCACCTGCTGCAGCTTCCAGATATTCTTCAAAGATTGCCCAATGTAGAATGCATTGGAATAACATACAGTACTATCTCATGGTATTGTTCAAAACCAGGGGTGGGATTCAATTTTTTTAACAACCGGTTCTGTGGGTGTGGCTTAGTTGGTGGGCGTGGCTTGATGGTCATGTTATTGGCTGGGCTTAGCCAACTCAAAATCACTCACATCAAGGCACGCATCTCCTCACCTGGTCACTCATGACTGTGGGGATGCTGCAATAGTCGTAAGTGTGAAAAATGGTCATGTCACTTTTTTCATTGCCATTGTAACTTTGAATGGTCACTCCACACAAGCAAAGTACCAGCAAAGGAGGAGACAAAAACTCCACAGACGTTCCTGAGACAGGAAGTCTAGTCCTGCCAAGAATGTAATAAGGGTTAACGAAGAGGCAGTTTCTGTAAGCAACACCAGAATGTTTCCTTCCTGCCTTCCTGACAGGATTAGGCCAGTAATTTCTTCTAACAACTGATTCTCCAAACTGTTTAGAATGTTAACAACCAGTTCTAGTGAATAGGTGTGAACCTGTAGAATCCCACCCCTGTTCACAACTAGTACTCATGTGTATGAGTTAATCCTGAAACATCTCTACCTATGGCAGCTGCTCTCATTTTCATATTGCTGGCTGACCTTGGTTGATCCTAAAAAGCTAAGCAGAGGGAGACATTGTATTTGGGTGAGAGACCAACAAGAAATCCCAGGGATGTAGGCTAGACAGGGAAGTTGAAAGAACTTTTCAGAAGAAGACCGTGGGAAACCACTTCCATTTTATTGCCCAGAAAAACACATGGTTATGTCAATGCAGTACAATCATCTGGAGTTGACCTCAGGTCAAATAAGACTTTGTTTCTACTCATTGGTTTTAGTAGATCAGGTGTGTAGCATTAATGCTGTTTAATGTGAGAGCAAAAATATTTTGTTCCCAGTGGGCACAGTCATCACAGTGGCATCCGTTTATTGAATTAAAGCTTGAATACAGTTGTTTTGTTAATATATTCCTCAGTTTCAGCACAACTAATTGGAAAGACACAGCATTGATTAGCACAGTTTTTCCAGATCATGTAAGCAGAAGGGTTGTTTAAATTAGTGATCAGATGGTTATCAAAAGTTGTAATTCCCTTGATTCCAAAATTTCTCCATGGTGGAGAAATTAGTAAGAGAAGTAGCAGCAAATAGAACAGAAACTATATAGAATGGAGAAACTTTTCCAGATATCCTTACACACTTCACACACTTTGCACAGTGTTCCTTTTCATCTCTTATAAAATAAAAGTATTGGATTCTAAACAGCTGGTTTTCATCAGTCTTGTCATGGAACATTTTTATAGTTTAGAGGACAATTTGGACAGTGTGTCTAAGTTTTCTTGTCTTGATTTGTGGTACATTTAGTCCTCAATCATACTTCAATTTTCTCCTGGTGTATTGGTATATCATTGTTTTAGTTGAGCCTAACATTTCCATGTATCTTTAGATGGACTGAAGATACTTCCTTAGATCTGAGTCTTCATCATATAACTCATTAAGTTCGTTATGCATCTTGATTACTAGAAAATATTATTTGCTGGTCAGCTCTGCAAAGAGATTCTATTCCATTCAAGCATGGACTCTATATTGTTCAGCTAGCCCTTGAAGTTCTCCTTGTCTTCTGTTACTTGCAAAAGTCAGAGGTGGCTTTGTTTTATTAAGTAAATTTTGTTAAGTAATGTAATACCCAGAGCAAGCACTGGGTTTGAACTGTAGTAGTTATAGAAGAGGCTAAACTCTTATTGTGGCACACATGCAGTAACCTATTTTAAGTGGAAATAAAGATAATTATTTAGCTTTGCTTTATTGAATGTCTAAGTAATTTTGAAGAACAGAGCCAATATCATGGAACTTAGTTTCTAATTCTGTGATCTTCACTGCTCTTTTCTGAACCTGTTTTAATTTTCTCCCTAAATCCTTCCCACGTCTGGTGCCCATATGTGAACATAACAGTGGAGGTGGGGATATAGCTAATGCAGGAAAAAAGGCTATATTTTCCCAAGGCTATGTTTTGCAAATTATATTTATATTAATTTTGCTTATGTTGATATTGCACATTAGTTAATCTTTAATATGGGGTCAGTTTCACAATAAGATGGTATCTAATTGTGTGTTTATTTAGTGCAATAAATGGAAGGCATCTGAGTTCAAAATACTATCTGTGGCATAAATCATCTAATGACTCCTGCCTGATTCATCCAGTGGGTGAATTCTTTCCAACCATTCTCTGATAAGGACTGCTATTAGTGCCGTAGTTCTACATGGGGATGAATTAATTCTTTCAAGTTTCTCTTGATGTCATAAGGGTACAATATTACACTGAGCATTCTCATCTGCCTCTTAACTTGCTATCATAGCATCACATGGTCCCAATAAAGTAGGGGTGTCAAATTCACTGCCTGCAGACCGGATGTGTCATGTGCTGGCCACACTCAATTTAGCAATGGGGAAAAAAGTCATGAAATATCACATGACGCCGCCATGTTTAACACCCCTGCAATAGAGCATCTCTGGAAATGTTCTTGGTCAAAAATAATGACTCATAGAATGATGTGTTCATCAGCGCACAGGTGATTTCCTCTGAATTTGTTTCTTTCCAATACAAGGTAATGATTAATGGAGAATTAGAGAGTGAATTTCACTGGCTGAATAATTTTGAACACTTAACCCCAAAATCTTACATTTATGCTATGTAAGGAGAAACCTTGTGTCATGCCCTTGTTGGAGTTTGATTCTTAGGGGGAGATTGAGCAGCTGACAGGGAGTGGGAGTGTGGATCCGGTGGCTGTGGAAGAAACGGGGGAAGGGCACAGTCCGGCTGGGCATTCAGAGGAAGACCCAGGGCCATCCCCTCTTCATTCTAGGACACGTAGGGAGGAACGGAGAAGGGAGGAACATGGATTACAAGAGAGGAAAGGGGCCTGATCCCCTTCATGGGCTGCAGCTGGGAAGACTGTTTAAAAGGGCAAACTGCGCATGGCAAAGTTGCAGGAAGCAAAGCATGCATTATCTTTGTCGAGGCTTTTCTGGGTTTTGGCGTCCTCCCAACTGTGGATGCTGTGTTGTCTTTTGGAAGTCTGCAATTTATCATCCTGGCCTGTCGTGTTAATTACTTTAGCGTGGTTTGTGTTGTTTTTTTAATCTCTAATTATCTTTACTTTGGGTTCAGACTGCATTTCTTCCCTTCGTGGACTGTTTTTGGAAGAGTTTGAACTCCAGCCGAGGAGAACTGGACATTGGGGGCCAAGTTGGAGGCATTAAAGGGAATTTATCTACTTTGGTGACTTTGTTATTTTTGTGTCACGCCCCTTGCTTCTTAAATTTAATTCAGAATGATGTTTGCTTCTGTTATCATTTATTGGGATATTTTGCTTTATCCCTTCTTGAAGCTTTGAAGGTGAATTGTCTTTGTTACAAACTGTAAGGCATTGATCTGTTGATGACTATTCCTGTGCTATTGGTTTTAGTTGGCTGCAGTTATTAAAAGAATGGATTAAAGAATGTCATAAAATTATGTATGATATTGAAAAAGAATTTAGATCTTTTGCTACTGTGGTATAATCTCAGAATTTCGGTTGTTTACATGCGATCCAATAGGATAGAGATAGAACAGTCTAGAAGTATTATTAATATGATTCAACAGGTTTATAATTTATGTTCTTATTACAGTATGCTGCTTTGAATAATTAAGCACATCAATTTCAAGTTTAAGTGGAGGTGTTATGAGAAATGATCTCA